GAGAACCTGGGCCTCATCTGGCACCACCTTCTCATTTCCCAAACAAAGAAACTGAGACCCACGAAAGCAAAGCAACTTTCAAAAGCAAAGCATTAGGCAAAACAACCCCTGATCTCTCCAACAACCAGCCAGGGCTTTGGTTTGAGTGAAGTACTTTGGTTCATGAAGAGTAATTAATAATTACAGAAAACAGGGAGAAACAAGCACCACAAAAATATAATCTTCTACAAAAATCATAAAAGAGTCCTAATATATGTTTTCATATATGGCCTTCTTCTTAAAAATATCAAAGTCGTAACAATATAATGCCTTTACCAATAGTACTTCTCTGAATTATCTAGCAGGATATATAAATATTTCCCCTGCCTCTCTCTCTATAATGATAGAATAGCAAAACAGTAACACGCTCAGACAGTGCTGATAGAAATCATTTAACTGATAAAGAAATGAGAAAGGAGGGGAAGAATTTGAAAATAGCTCTTTAATTTTGTTTGAAGGCATTTTCCTTATGAAAATTAGTATTTCTCCAGAGTGGAATAATTTCCTATTTAAAGCTTCAGTTGACTTGGCCTGGTTATAATGTGAAAGAGATTCAGACTGCTTATTGAAGGGGATTGCACAGAACCAAATCCAAACAAAGCAGAATTCCCTTTGAATTGTTCCATCCAAGTTTCCTTGGTCCAGATGGCTTCGATCGCCAGCCAGAGACTCCACCCACACCTTCCCACTCCCGCTGTGCACTGGCCCTGGACACATACTAATGACCCTCAGCTGTTCTGGCTCCCAGACTCACTTTCTCTTCCTGCCTGGACACCCAACCTCCTATCTCCTACAGAGAGAAAGGAAAGAGGGAAAGGAAGACACTTAGGAAAAAAAGTCATACCTTTGGGTAAATAGGATTTATATTAGCGAAATCAGTTTCTAATTGCTGCTGTAACAAATTACCCCACACATAATGGCTTAAAACAACACACACTCATATTCTGCAGGTCAGACATCCAACATCGTCTTAGGGAGTATGTTTACGGGGCTGCATTCCTTCTAAAGGTACTAAGGGAAGATGTGTTCCTTCCCTTTACCAGCTTCTGGATGCTGCAGACATTCCTTGGCTCCTGGTCACCTCATCCTGATCTCTGCTTCTGTCATTACATCTCCTCCTCTGACTCAGATGCTCCTGCCTCCCTCCTATAAGGATCCTTATGATTTTACTGGGCCACTCAGATAAATTTCTGCAGGATAATTTCTGCATCTCAAGATCCTTGATTTCATCACATATGCAAAGTTCCTAATCTAACATATTCACAGGTCTTCATATTAGGAGGTGGACATTATTCTCTTTGTTCTTTCTCTCACATCAGACATTGTCTAATATAATCTAACATCTAACATCAGGTACTACAAAGCTATACCTATATTTAATACATAAAATCTTATACGCACCCAAACATATACGTGTACTGAATAGGATGAGATAACAAGTCTGTTACAGCTGAAATAAAAGTCATAGAGTAATATCCAAGATTATTGTATCAGGCTTATTACAACTAATTTCTAGTACTTTGTTCATGGCAAAATATTTAAAAAGGAAGAAAAAAAAAAGCACACTAGAGCTGATGGCCTGTGAAGGGCTTGCTTACCACTCACCTCCATATACTGCCCAGGGCTTCTCACCACTAAAAAAAACCAAAGCCCAAATAATTTAGTAGTGTGGTCAGTGGAGCTCTGTCTCATTACCAAGGCAGCATGTCACGTGTATTGGCCTTGGAGTGGGACAGCGCCATGGCTGCCAGTAATAGACAGAGTAGGTCCCAGGAAAGGTAGGGGTCTTCAGACAGAGGAGGGGTCACCTTTATAAAACGCCTCCCACCCAGCATGATTAGGGGACAACTCACACAGGGTCTCAGGCAGGATCTTCAGTGGGACTAAGGAGTGCAGTGAGGGAATGCAACCAAGTCACATGACACTTTTAAGTTAAAGTGAGAAAAGGCTGGGATAGAAGGAACCACACGGAAAATGCTGGCGGGTAACAAGAGTTAAGGATAAAGGCAAAGAGGAGATGTTAATTTAGAACCTATTCGTTTCATTCAATTCAAATAGAAGCAATCTGATGATAAATTTTTCATCTTCTTTCCTGCAAATCACCACCTGGCCACTTCTGTCCTTATCAGCTTGGCCTTCTACCCCACATAAAGGTTCAACTGTCCATACTATACCAACGCCTTCCCACCTACCTAAGGATTTTCTTCCTGCAAATATCCTTTATCTCCCAAATCACTGATTTTTTCCCCTTCTGCTCATTTTCATCATCATAAAACCATGTTATAACACTTCCCATCTTTTAAAAGACCCTCCTTTTATCCCACACACTAACCATGCACCTGCTCTATTTATCGGATCCTCATTCTACCCCTCAGAAAAAGCTTCCACTATTCAGTCATCGTTTTCTCTCACACTGTCTCTTGAACCCATTTCAAGCCAGCTTTTATACCCACCCTCTGCAAACCCCATTTGTCACGGGCCTCAATACTGCCATATAGTAAATCCAGTGGTCTAGGCACAGAGCCCATTTTTCTCAGCGTCTTAGTAACAATGACACAACTGAGCACCGCCTTCTCAAAATGCTTTCTTCACCAGGCTCCTGGATGGAACCCACTCCTGGTCTTCCTCCCACTTCACCTGGTCTTTCTTTCCAATTTCCTTGGCTGCACCCCCATCCTCTTTTTCTTCTGAAGACAGCCCGAGGTTCAGTCCATCGCCCCCTTCCCTTCTCCACTTATCTGTGATTACTCGCTAAATGATCTCATCCACTCTGGTGGCTTTAGATAGGTCAATCTACATGCTAAGGAGTCTCAACTGTGTATTTTCGTTCTCAAATATATTCTTGAACTCAAGATTCCTCTCTCCAGCATCCTAGGATCTCATCCACTCTGGTGGCTTTAGATAGGTCAATCTACATGCTAAGGAGTCCCAACTGTGTATTTTCGTTCTCAAATATATTCTTGAACTCAAGATTCCTCTCTCCAGCATCCTAGGGGACACTAGGGGCATCCCAGAAGACAATAAGGCATTCTCCTCCCCTGCTGTCCAGTTCAGCAAGCTGTTCACCCAGAGACCCTCTGAGTTTTCCCTCTTTCTCTCATGCCCCACATCTAATTTGACACACTTCTGTCCAGCTTTACATTAAAAAACAATCCAGAATACTACCGCTTATCTTCCCTTTCACCACATCGCTCTAGTCCAAGACACTTTTACTTCTCCCTCAGAACTGTGAAATAACCTGCTTCTACTCTTGCCCTACATATTCTACTCTCCACCTGATATTTATATGTATCTTTCTAAAACATAATCCAGGCCAAGTCATTTCCTATCCCAAAATTCCCAAAAGCATTGCCATCACATGTAGAACGTATCCAGGTGGGTCTGTTGAGCAGTGCTGCCCCAATCGCCCAGCAGCTCCTCAGCTCTCCACAGCTTCGTTTGGTCACCATCTTGTGCCCTCTTCAGACTCCCTTCTTTGACAGTCTCTCTCTAGAGAGGTTCACCTGTATATTTAACACTTTTCCCACACAACACTGGCATAAAAGGCTGCAACACTTCACTACTTCTTCAAAAGTTGGCTGTATTTTTGTATTAAGTCTGTCAGCAAACCTCTCTCAGGGAATAACAAGCTCCTGTAGAGTGATGGTTGGGGTAGTGATGGTTTAACCATTAGGCTGTGGTTCCTTCATTCCTTAAACATTACTGACTCACAATATAAACCTTTCCATCTTTCATGGCAAGAGGTTAATGTCTCATGATAAAGAAAATCCCTTAGGGGTACCTGGGTGCTTCAGTCAGTTAAGCATCCAACTCTTGATTTCAGCTCAGGTCATGATCCCAGGGTTGTGAGATCAAGCCCTGCATCAGGCTCCACACTGAGCATGGAGCCTGTTTAAGATTCTCTCTCTCTCTGCCCCTCCCCACTCTCCCTCTTAAAAGAAAGACTCTTAGGAGATACTTTTTTGGTGACAATTATTTAACATTTAAAGGCAAATTCCTAATGTTTATTTACTGTTATAAACATGTTGAGAGCTGAACTACCTGAAAATATTTGCCTAGAATGCCTTCAAGTAGATTTGCTTTATATTTCCTTAATTCAAAAATGTCCTTAAAGTTCTCTTGAAACTTGGAGGATATTAGTTTTTTCAGATTATAAGTATATTCTAGTGCATATATGTCCTTAGGAAATATCCCTTTTAAAAAAATTTTTTTTGAAAACTTTCATAGACATGAAGGGAAAAAATAAAGATTTCTGAACCTAGCTATTCATCAATACTCACTGGACAACTTCTTCAATGTAACAAAGATGTATGCAATTTTGGAGTAACTCGCCTATTAAGTGACTAGAACGCTGGTTCTATTGACCAAGCCAGGCTTAATGTTCTCTTCTGTTTAAGTAAACTTCAGTCAGGCTTCTCCCTGATTCTAAGCCCCTGATCTCCCTTTTCTTAGAGCATTCACTCCAGAAAATTTGTAATTATAAATTCTTTCTCTGACCCTTTGAGTGGCAAACCTTTTTAAAAGCTTCTTCTCAGTTTTACAACTAGCAAGGAATGTCTTTCTCAAGGACCTAGGAGCCACCCCTTTGAAATACAATCATCCAGAAAGATAAGTACCCAGATCTTCCAGTCTCTGTGAGATGGTAGAACCCTAACTTTGGTGAGTGCCAGTTAGCAAAGACAGATGGCCTAATCACAGAGGAAAACATGTGCCAAACTCAGGATAACTCAATTTGCTCCATCCCATTGATCAACAGCCTGAAGTCCTCCAGTACTTTTCCACTAGCTCCCGCCAGTACTCAAGAACCCTCCATTTCTTTGTTTCAGTGAGTGGAGTTCAATCTCTCCCTATTACAGTAGTCTTAAATAAAGTCTCCCTTGCCTGTTTAACTTAGCCCAGTGCAATTTCTACTTTGACACCATAATCCCAGTACTGGAGATGACTAAGCTTTCAGTACTCACAGGCTTACCATCTTGACCAGATTGTCCAGGGTAGCCAGGGTTCCCAGGCTGTCCAGGTTCACCCTAGAAAGGAAAAAAAAATTCTCAGTCCAAAACAACCAACCACACTGCTGCTGTCAGAGCCCTTCAAGGTTCAAGCTAATTCCATGATTTGTAGCTCTTTGTATATTTAAGAAGAAGAAAGAAGAAAGGAGGAGGAAGAAGAAGGAAGAAGAACAACAACAACAAGAGACATCCCAAAATAGGGTTAGAAAAGTAATGGCATATTTTAAATGCCCACTTTACCAAACAAAGGCTTTTTATTACATAAAATTTTCAATGATTTATTTCTGTGAGCACACCAGGTATAACAAGTAACGTACTCTTCACCAATGTAAAATGTCAATATTTATGTCAGGATACAGTTTTAGAATTCTGAAGTGCTGTAGCAAATATGGTCTCAATGCCAGCCATTTTTCTCTCATACTTCTCTTCTATTTAGACTTAATTCTATTCTCAGCGTTACAGGACAGATATCAATGACCTATGATGTAATAATTCAATTTGCAATCATTTATTTAAAAAAGTCCACAGGCTATATGATCTTACACATAGGACTCAAGTTTAAAGCCGCATGACAGTCATTTCTTTTATTCTAGCCGATGTGTCTCTTTGCCTCTATTTATAACTTTATTTAACATAATGTTAAAATTTTTAAATCTGAGTATTTACATGAGAGTGAGGCCCAAGCCAGACAACTCTGCCCAACCCCCATAGTCCTTGAACACAGGGACTAAGAAATGAAGAAATGACCTTTGCCCCCCACAAACCAAGGATGTCCAAAGAACATTAAACCATACAATATGACAATTAGCCCAGGCACATTCTATGAAACTCTAGTATGTTGCCCCATGGCCAATACTGACTGTTCGGATAGTCATCACCCATGAAAAAAGCAATGAAAGCAACATTTTTCATGAGGTGAGGGTGTTGTATAATTCTAAAAAATACTTCAAAATTAATATATTAATCTATTGCTGAATCCATGAGACCCACATGGGGCATCTTGCTTAAAAACATGAAGTCTCAGCCATCAGTACCAGTAAACTTCTGCACAGAGGCAAGGCAGCTGATTTCAGTTCAATAAGTCATTATTTGCATTAAGAACTCATTCACACAGGACCCCAATAATTATAAATTAACTAAAGACCAAAACTAAGGGTACTTTCAGAGAGCCAAATCTGAAGATCTGAAATACTACTTCAGGTTACTGGCTACGGAGAGTTGTTCCTGAAACATAACAGGAAAAATGGAAAGAACTATGCGAACTCTATTAAGTGGCCAATGAATGGGGGTTGGGCTTTTCACTTAGGAGCTGCCCAAGAGACAAAGCATGGGGAAGGGCTGAGAAGAAAGGAAATGTTATTTTTAAAAGAAATAGAGAAAGAACAGTGTAAATCCAGGGAGAAATATAATGCTGAAACATATTCTGTCTTGCTGAAGAAACAGAATTTATAGTTCTAACCCAAGGACTTCCAGTGTTAGCTGGGCAATAAGGAGTAACATTCTGGTTCTCTAGGGAGTTGGAGTTTTTCTCTTATTTTGAGAGGATCCACCTTAATCTCTAGCCTCTCTGCCATCCTTTATCCCTGTTCAAATTGGACTCGCTATCTTTTTTTTTTAAAGATTTTATTTATTTATTTATTTGACAGAGAGAGAGAGACACGTTGAGAGAGGGAACACAAGCAGGAGGAGTGGGAGAGGGAGGAGCAGGCTTCCCGCTGAGCAGGGAGTTCAATGCAGGGCTCAATCCCAGGACCCTGGGATCATGACCTGAGCCGAAGGCAGAGACAATGACTGAGCCACCCAGGCACTTGCTATCTTTCAGCAGATTCCATCTTTTCTCCCCCTGACAGGAAGTTTTTCTTCCTTTTCCACTTAAGAATCCATTATTCCTTTTTTCCTTGATGTCTTTTTCTACTGAAATGCTATAACAGCTCCTATCACTGATCCCTTATTCATAAGCAGTTTTCTCAGTTTTCCCTTGATTAGTCTTCATTTACCATTTGGATTGAAACTTCTTGAAAACAGAGTCTTTATTTTCTCCCTTTTTTGAGGGGGTGGGAAGGGTTGATAATGCTGCATATCAAGTAGGGATTCAATAACTATTTGTGGATTGATTTATTTTAAATCATATTTCCTGTTAATGACCCCCTTTACTTGCAGAGTATTATTATCAGCAAAATCTAGTATATCAAAAGTATCTGAGAGGGTTTATCGTCTACTGTGATGAAGCTGGAACACAGCTTTGGTAAAAGAAGAAACGAAATTTGTGTTTTAACACTGCATCAAAATACAAAACATATTAACATTTTAAATAAATAGAAACTAAGCTTCCAAGACAAAAAAAAAAATCACTCACAAGATAAATCCAATGTGACATCAAAAGGACCATAACATTGGTGAACAGCCCCAAGAGGGAAAAATAATCTCTTTTGCAGGTTCTATTATTGCTGGTAGGTTTTACTGGTTATTCTGACTATTGCCCTATTGATTTATTTGCAAAAACTGAGGAAGGTTTGGTGTTGTTTCCATAAAATTGGGAAAATAAAGACAGACACTAATTTTTGAGAGAAGACCAATCAGAATAAAAATTCAATTGTATTACTGTAATAAAAGTCAATGCTCTATCTTGACTGTTTATTATATGTTAAGCACTAAGTTACTTAATCCTCATCATAATCCCATGAAGCAAGTAATTTTATTATTCTCATTTTTTATATAGGAAAACTGAGGCCCCAGAAGTGTAAGTCACTTGTTCAAGGTCACACCGCAGTAGTGGAGATGACACTTGAACTCAGCCAATTCAGCTCCAGAGTCCATGCTCCTAAACACTACTATCCCTGCCCACATTAAAATGCATACACTTATTAGAACCAGACCTGGGGACTGTTAGCAAACTTAATACAGAAAACAATTTCCAAATACATTAAATGAGACATAGGACCTATTATTGTACAATTGTGACTAAATTCCCAATCCACTTTCTTCTAATTTAGTTGAAACATTTGCACATTTTGAATTTTAAAAACTATGTGTTCAGCTGAAAAGCAGTACTTACATATGTTGAATTGAACTTGTGCCACAGGATTTTTGAGTTGTTGACAGGAGTGGCAATGTCATGAACTAAGCTGAAACATCTCTGAATATGGCCTCTCAAGTAGTGTCAATATGAATAATCAAAGTAAGAAACACTTATGCTTGCAAAAGCAAGCTGATATTTTTGGTTGCTTATCTAAAACAAATGTCTTTGGAACTCTTCACCTAGGCCCAAATCCCACGTGTTCAAGCTCTCTTCTCAAAACTCCTTGTGCCTTCATTCTACCCTCCGGACTCTGCAGGAGTATCTGACCTAAGACCTATTCCCTTTTCCTAAACCATGCTCTTCCCTCCCTCAAAACTCAAACACCCACTCTCTCAGGCTAGAAGGAATCCACTTAGTCTGGGAAAATTAACATAAAAATGTGAATGCCCAGTGGCCCCTGTAATTTTCCAAAGGCTTTTGTATTTTAAACAGAGGATACTTTGATAGCCTGAATGAATCTCTAAGGGTGGTATCTGGAGGGTGAAACAAAGGAAATCAACAGAGATACAGTGATAGAAAGGGTGGTATTTCAGAGAAAAGGATTCGTAAGAAATTGTTCCTTCCTAAAAAGAAGAAAAAACGCCTTCTTTCCACTTCAGAAACAATAGATCTAACATCAAGGTTAGATCAAATGTGGGGAGTTTGTCCCCACAAAGGTTCCTAGTACTGAAGTGGGGGGAAGAAGTTGTCATTCACATGAAAAGGTCCTTTGAAAGGGGGGTTTGTAAATTGGGGATTGCCTGGATCTTTCATATCACAACAAAGGCATCCCATATAGGTTAACTGGGAAAAGGGGTGAATCAATGATTTTATAATTCATTAAATAAAAAATTATTACCATTAAGCACTGTGTTAGACATTGGAATTCCAAAGGACAATTTAGTTTGTATTAAACTTCATTGTGAACTGCTTGCATATATAAAGTATTCCAACAGATTTATTAATTTAATCACTCCCTATATTTGATATTAAGGATACAAAATGAATTAGCTCTTCTTCAAGGAACTCATAATCCAGTAATATATATATTTCTATGCCTGTTATAGAGTTATAATGCCATGGTAAGTAAGTCTAAGTATAGGAAACCAGAGTTATTTTGACCTGTTTTTCCAATAGGGTTGTCATATCTTTGGGGAACTCAGAGAATTTTAAACAGATGAGTTTATCTTTGAATAAGCACTGACCCCCCCTATCCACACAGCAATTTCTCCTGTTTCAGTCTGAGGACTCAACTCTCGGCTCCCAGAACTCTATTTCTGGTTAACAGGAAGACGAGATCTGTTCTTCACAGGTAACTTTGTTTGATGGACATCTGTAAAACTTTCCAGAGAGCATCTAACAAAAAACTGAGGCCAATAAGCCTCAGTTGGATCTATAGGAAAATGGCTTCATCTATTTTAGTTCCAGTTCTGCTAATCTAATTAAAACCCTGTTAATTCCCCAAGCCAGAAATTCTCTAAAGGAAATACAACTCAGAGTGTTGCTAGGGATTCTGTTTTTCACATACAGGTCCCTGATGTGCGTAAGGAACCACCTCCAGGGGAAAGAGCCCTAAAAGGATGGAAGAATGTGTGTGTGTGTGTGTGTGTGTGTGTGTGTGTGTGTGTTCCTGTCCTCCAGCCAGATTTTCTGAAGAAAATGGAAAGCAGATCAAGAAGGCACGCCAATTTGAAGATTGGTGGAAAACTGCAATTTCACTTAAAGTAGTAGGTGGCAATAGCGTGAGATTATGACTAAGAAAAAAAAAAGAAAATGAAAATGAGGAACACATGACACTTGGAAATACTCGATATCAGAGGCTTGACCAGAGAAGACAAAAGGTGTGCTAAGAATCTGCTGTAGGAACATACATGAATAAAAATTGATGTCACTTCAAGACACCTAATAGACCACTAGTAAAGATTCAGAAAACATCAGATGTATCTGATGCCTCCCCAAAAGTAAACAGCCTTTTAGAGATCCTGGGGGTGATCTGAACCTCCCTGGGAGTCAGAAAAGCATGCGGGGCTTTGAGAGGTCAGACATGATGTGCACCTGATTTTCATATTATATCTCTTACAGATCAAATCATTTTTATGTATAATATTCCAAGTGGAATAAACTGTGTGTGTGTGTGCGTGCGTATAGATGTGTGTAGATATATGTGTATATAAATATATATTTTTTAAAAAGAAGTCTGCTGGTAGATCACACCAAGTTGTCTTACAAGGTGTATTCTCCCAGGAGTATCCTATAGGCATTTCTTCTTTATGTCAAGGCACCCAAAATAACATGGCAGTTGCTTTAACTAGAGAACAAAGAACACCTGGATTAACTTTCCTAAATGCAATCTAAAAATAGTTTATAATAGTAAATTGATTTTAATATACTGAAATCAAATTCCCAGCCAAATAGATTTACTTTGAATGAATATATGCTTTTATTTTTTAAATTACATTTCTTGATTTTAATGAGAGGCCTAAAGTAGGTCATGAGCTATCACATAAAAATATGATGAGCATAACTGGGTGTTATATGCAACTAATGAATCATTGAATGCTACATCAGAAACTACTGATGTTGGCTAATTGAATTTAAATTAAAAAAAAATGGAGGGGAGAAACATGCATGAAAGATGGGAGGAAACAAATTATCTTAGATGAGCAGTTTAAAAGCTAAATTTTTCAGTCGTGACTGAAACACTAAGGAAATTCTATCTAAATGAACATTACAATTCATAGTTAACAAAAATTAGTAATTATTGCTTGGACACCTCAAGCAATAAATGATGAATACATAAAACACGCTTTTTGGCTAGGGAGTCATATCTGCTTCCAAGTTAGACATTATTTTTATCTAAGTAGGGTATTTTAAGATAATATTAAATGAATAAGATTTAGGAGCGCCTGGGTGGCTCAGTCAGTTAAGTGAACAACTCTTGTTTTTGGCTCAGGTCATGATCTCAGGGTCGTGAGATCAAGCCCTGTGTTGGGCTGAGTACTTGGCAAGGAGCCTACTTAAGATTCTCACTCTCTTTCAGCCCCTCCCCCCAACTTATTCAAGCTCTAATATAAGTAAATAAATCCTAAAAAAAAACAATGAGCAAGATTTATGTATAGCAGACAAACCACTTAATATCTCAGTATCAACCCGGGTCTAAGTGATCCCACAGTAAGTATCAACTTAAAAACAGTCATTCATACTTAATAGCATAGAAACATATTCAGATTATTTAGTTATATAAAAAATAACTAGTTATAAAATGGCATGCACATCATGGCTCCAATCATATAAAAATGTATACACAACTATGTAAATGTTTATATACACAAACTCTATACACATAAATTAATAGATACAAGTGGAACACGTGCATATATGAACAAGACTAATAAGAGAACATACTCCCTAAAAGTAATTATTACATGATTAAGTAAAATTGATATATATGCCTCTATTTTTAGAATTAGACACCAAAACCAAACATAACACTGAAATCAACTTTAATATTTCTATTTTATTTTTCTGAGAATCATTTTGACAAACTAAGGATTTAGAAACATATCTCAACAAATGCCATTGCTTCATTTTTTTATGAGGTTGTAAGGAGGTATCATTCTGGGAATTTGGCAGCAGTGTTTGGGGAAAAAAAGATAAACCAGCAAATAAATTAATAACACTCCCCTCCCTCACTTTACTGTGGGCCAAGGGTATCAGTTCTAGGTTCAAAAGCAAGTATAGATTGGAATACACTTTTTTATTTTTTTTTATTTTTTTTAAAGATTTTATTTATTTATTCAAGAGAGACAGAGGGAGAGAGAGAGAGAGAAGCAGAGGGAGAAGCAGGCTCCCCGCAGAGCAGGGAGCGCGATGCGGGACTCGATCCCAGGACCCCGGGATCACGACCTGAGCCAAAGGCAGACGCTTAACCATCTGAGCCACCCAGGCGCCCCTGCAATACACTTTTTTAAAAAAATCACTAAAACTAAGGTTTTAAACTGTTCTAAGGCATTACGTAGAAATTTCACAATAGCATCAGCGGTGACTAGGAATTTTGTGAATTTGCTCAGTTCTTGTGTATTTTAACCAAAAAAAAAGAAAAAAAGCAAGTTTGGTATGACTCACTTTGGGGCCTTGTAGTCCTGGCTTTCCTGGAGGACAGAAACAGGGAGCTGGGGTTGAACCTACATCACTGGGACCATTGAGGCACTACAGAGACAAAAACGGAAATCAACAACAAACATGGAAAGACACATGTATATCTATATGTACATATGTGTAGGTGTCTGCATGTCTTTATGACACTGTAAAGATATCTTACATCTGCTTTCCAATTTTATTTAGCACAATCCATTAAGAACTTCTGAATCACAAAAAGCTATGAAAACTAAATGCACTCAGACTACATAAAAATGAGTTCTATTTGTTTAATGTACTTACAGTTGATGGAAGGAAGCTAAACAGTCCCACAATACAAATATTACCTTAAGGAGAATAATAGTTTCCAGGCCTACCTCACCATTCTGAAAGAAAAACAACAATGAATGTGTTTTAAAGGACGCTTTTAAATTTCTAAATTATCTTCCTAATTTATAGATATTTTATTGTCCAGGTTCTAGATACATGAAGTATCAAAACCAGCAAGAACTAAAACATGTACGTGCAAATGTCCTAAAAAAATGACATTAATACACATTATAATGACATTTACAGTAGAAAAAAGTAAGGACATGAACAACAATGAAGAGCAGAATGAGAAAATGGAAATGCCAAAGCTGCTTGGTGTAATGGCCACGCAGGAGCAAAAATACGCCAGGGTGAAATTTATATGCTCTTTTGAACTTTCTGGAAGTCATATGAAAACCAGAGGAAAAAGCCAAAACATATCTAAGAAAGTCACAAATTCCATGCATTAAATTTTCTGCATTTTACTTTAGGAGACCTCCTCACTAAACAATTTGCTTCTTACTGAGTAACACACGATTTTAAAAAGGTTAATAATCTTTCCAGACAATAAAAATTAGATCAGAAAATGGGAAAGTGGGAATAAAGATGCAAAAGGTAAGCTACATGAAGTCACACCTGAAAGTAAGGAAGGAGACATAAAAACACACAAAAAAGCGAATGTCAGAACTCAAAATACACTATCTATTCTTGTGCTTTTATGATGTGGGAGGCTAATGGTCATAACATCAAGGCAGAAATATCAATAAATAAAGTATATAAAATGGACTCTCAGAATGTAATCACATATTAATACTTTTAGGAGAGATTAGAGGTCTGTATTTCAAGTTATAAGTATCTAAAATAAAAGTTAGAGTGTTTAAACAATTACCTCTCTAAAAGACCAAGAAATGAATCATTTCTAAAAGGTTCCATGGTTGATATTATTATAGAGCATTTAAACATACTACCCTACGTCCTCAAGTTTTCAGAACATGTAGATTTGTAGGTTATTCAGTTTGATAGGAAAAAAAGAAGATGATGGTAGTATGACTTTACAAACTAAAAGAACTATGACATGAGCTCAAAGGTCACTGGGAATCCACACTGTAAAAAGTTTAAAACATCCTATCTTATTTGCATTACAAAAATATACCTTTTTTTTTTGCCCTAGGGAAAAAGGACCACACACACACACACACACACACACACACACACACACACACCACAAGCACACATATATTATCAGACTCTAACATTTTAGCTTATAATTTTTTCCTCCTAACACATTAATGAAAATAGCCACATAAATGGAAAGTTACTATATCCTTGAAATACAAGAAAATCTTCCTTAGGTAACAAAAACAAAAAGAAACCTGTATATTCATTATGGTTTGAGAAAACATGTTGGTGAACAGGAAAATGAATCACTTCCTATTCTTTAGAATTGTGCTGTGTGGGGTATTCTGTCCACACATTTAATTAAGTATAGAAATGTATTTGACACTCCAGATACTCTGGATATTCAAAGAATCCTAGACTTTCCTAGAGCAGGTCCAGTCCTGCTTCACTTGAGTACCGGAAACATCACACTCCGAGGTGTGAAGAAAACATTTCCTTGTGCTCCTCCACTCACACTTGCACAGTGATACATTATCATTTTATTTCAATTATGAACATCAAAGTATGTTTTAATCAATGTAACTTTAATTGCACTGACAACAAAGAAATTAACTCTGTATATTAAATTAAGCCTCACATATTATCTGACTTTTACTTATTGCTCTGAAAGTACTGAAGGAAACACTTGGGAGGAAGATTCCATCCTACTCACAAATCCAGGAATCTCGCATGCTGTCTCTCGGTTGTTCTGTTCTGGGTTACAGTAGATGCGCAACTTCTGGACATCAAACTAGGAACATAAACCGCATCAGGTTAAAATTGAGGCCCAAGCTAACTGCTTCATAAGAGCGAACCAACTACATGAGCAGTCATGGAAGGCTTAAATCACAGCACCTAGCTAAAAAATAATAATACGAAATTTAAATACCTAATATATAGTTTAAAGATGTAATGCAACATAATTCATAAGGAAAACTCTAGCACCAAAAACAAAACTTTAATTTCCTTCGGGAACGCACTGGGGCTTTTTTAGTATCTCTATATTAAGAGCTAGCCTAGAGAGCATCTCCTAGGACACTTAAAAGTTTTCCCGGGCCTTCTGTGCTTATCCTAAATGTCTACAACATTTCTGATTACAAAAGAGTGAGCTTAAGAAGTCATCTTTAGTTTCAGAGATTTAGTTGCTGGCATGGAGTGTTGTGTGATGAGTAGTCCAAGCACCTGTTGCTATTTAAATATTTACTATACTCTGACATGTAACATTAATATAGAGAGAGCGTGGTGTAATTTGAATATGACAGTCTTCCCTTAATAGAAACAGAATGGGAAAGTATACATTTTCAAATAAGAGACTGTCCAAGAAATGGCTATCTTTTTATACACACATTTCTCAACCCACACACATAGATACTCCACTTTTTAAAAAATATAAAAAAGTAACAGTTTTAAGAATCCTGAAATGCATTAATCCGATTGTAACCTCACAGCTGCAGAGAAATTTTATAGCTCCCAACTCACAGCTCTAATCACAGTCTCTTTTCCAAGTTATTATTTAATCTATGCTTCTCCTGGGAAATATGAAATTAATGTTTCATAAGAATGTAGAATTCTATCCTGAACCCAGGGGAACAGTTTTCTAAGAATTCCTATAAAATCTATTAAGTCTAATTTTGTGTTTTCATACACACACTCAAACACACAATTCCACTAATAAACTGATCACATTTTGCTTAAGTGTCTTAAAGGAATTAATAATTAAGTTAAATACAGTTAAATGTGATAAATACTATCACAAAGGACAGCAAAAGCTCACTTTATACAATGCAAAAAGCAAGTCATTTTATCCACCTGAACAGTTTCTTCTTTCCCAGAATACTTTCCGATTTGAGTTTGCCCGCTGATGAAGATCCCTAAAACTGGATGTAAGGGCTTGTTTTCAATTTGTTGGTCATCAATATACAGAGTTACATCTTGTTCTGTTACTAAGAGACGAATTTGATGCCAGCCTTCATCAAATAATGTCTACAGGAAGAAAGTATGGAAGATTCATAAGTAAAATTCCTAATCTTTCTTTTTCTTTGTTCCCATTTCTTTGCTGCCAACCATAAATCCACACCACACAGAATGCTTGTATTATATACTAATTCACCCTGATCCAAGCTGGGTCTCAAATTCTACCCACCAATTAATTTATGAAGCCCTACTTTCCATTACATATCCATTACATGTAAGTAGATGTATCAAACAATTTATTGAAACAATTCCCTCAAGGTCACAAATGAATTCCTAATCTCTGAATCCAAGTGGCTTCTCCTATGCCTCATCCTATTTACTTCATTGCAACTTTAGATCTTTAACTAGTCCATCTTCCTTGATATTCTCATTCAACTTCCATGACTCAAACCATCTTGATTATCTTCATTTCTTCTTCTCCAGTTGCTCATTCTCTATTTCTTTGAGGGCTTCTCTTCCTCATTTCTTTTGATGAGGTCATTAACCCACAGATCTGTCACTAACCTTTTTCATTCTCCCCTTTGATTATCTTATCTATTCTTACAGGTCAATATTACCTCTATAGAATATCTCCCATATCTACAACAGCCTGAACCTCTTTCCTACATATGGGATCTATAATTCTAATACCGGCTAGTATAGTTTTACCAGGATATTTCACAATCAGCCTGAGGGAGAGTGTAGCAAAATGAACTTGAACTATCCCCAAAACTTTCTTCCTCTTGGTTTCCCTTGGATAATAATATCCTCAGTTTCTAAACTGCAACAAGTGTGTTTACCTCTTGCCTTTCCCTCAGTTGCAATAATAACCAGATGCAAAGTTCTACCAAATATGTCTCTTAAATGACTCAAATTCACTTCACCATTTCAAACATATTCATTGCCATAGTTTATGTTCATGGATATCTTGCTTTATCTGAATAATTTTCAAATATATCTCTAATTCCATCAGAGAAGATGCCACATCTTATTAATTTCTGGATTCCCAGGCCTAGAGCAATTCCAGGATACAGATGAAAATATTTTTTTATGAAAGAAAAAGGAGAAGGAGAAGAGAGAGCAGCTTTGACCATGACACACCTATGATTCAAGACTTTTTGATGAAATCCTGTCATCCACTGGATGAAGCCCAAAACCTTTTGTATGCTTTCCAGGTCCCCACAGATTGAACTCGCACCTTGTTAGCTTTTTCTTTCATGTATCTTATACTCCAAACACAAGGGACACCACTTTCTCTTCTTTAAATAAAAACCCTGCATTTTACTACAACGATTACTCAATACTGAACCACTGACTTACATGTCCTTCGCTCTCTTCATCAAAATCCTGTATCTTCTTCAAGGTCCAGCCCAAAAATATCTCATTAATAAGACTTGCCTATATATTGTGTTAGAATCTTTTTCCTCTACACTCCATTAATACCTTGTACTTCTATTAGATACCAGAGGCCTTCAATCTTCCATTAAAAATAAGTTCCTTGACGGTGTGAAACATGTCTTATTCATTTGTGATTTCTTACAGAACCTAGCATATTGACCTTAATAAAAATGGCAGCCAAATTTTTAAGAAATTTAATCTGCTTAACAAATGAAGAAAATATACAGGTGGCATAATTTCATATACAACCTTGTACATTTCCTAAATTATACAATATACTCAGACTATAATTATAATAATGATCAAAACATAACTGTTTCTATCACTGGCATCTGTATTCTGAACACATTTGACTTGGAAAATACACTTTTATCTTTAGTTTATCAATTTTACTAAATATAGTCTCCTTTGGGGAAAACAAAGCATTCTCCTAATAAATGGGAATTCTGCACTCATTATCTACCTGTATTTAAGGTTCTAACAAATGCCTTTTTCTCAATATCTTATAGGACATGGCAGTGTAAGATGAACCAACATGACTTTGATGAGACTTAACTTCAATTCCTGATGCCACCACTTACTAGCTGTGTTACTTTGAGATGGAACTTAATATACTTTAAACTTTTTTTTTTTTTTTGGTCTGTACAGTGAGAGCAATGGCTTCTGCGTTGGGTGAATATTATAATTAAATGTTCCTGGCATCTAATAGCAGGTACTCAAAAAATGTGAGGTATCCCCACTCCTTAATCCCATCTAAGAAACAACTTTCCTTCATTTGTTGCTTTTATTCAATAAAGCAACATTAAACTATGAAGTCAGTATCTTTTCAGCCATGTTAAAATTATGGCTCTCTTCCTCGAACACACACAAACCTGGTGGTGATTCCCCCAGGAATACCATCATAATCGTACCCAGGCATCTTTACCTTAACTTGAGGGTCAGCGAAAGTGACCACTTGTGAGCCATTAATTACGCTGGTTGTTAAAAATAGTAACGTTTTATCCACACCATTTAAGGTAACTGCTATTTGTGGCCTTCCATCAATGGTTAAAATTCTCCATAGATCCCACATTTTCTTGACCTTAAATCTCTGAGTGGAGACAAATACATATGATGGAGGAAGACCTTCGGGGAAAACATTGCTAGAAAAAGAAGAATGTGCATAAGCTTAAAGAATTCTCAACATGTCTACAGACATATATAAAAAAAGTTTGTATCAACACAAAACATATACCTTGTGAATTCTGATAAGTCAACTTTTGATGTCACTTCATATCCTTTTATCTTTGTTGGTGAAAGCAGTATTCTTTTCTTAACCTTTTTCTTTACACCCAAGCCTAAAAGAATATCAAACCCTTTCTCATCGCGAGCTGCCACTGGAATTCGTGTTGGACAAACAGATTCTGTAAATTCAAAGCAAAAGCAGTAAACATTGATTAATCATGGATTACATCAACAAGAAAATGAGAAATATTAGAGAAAATAATTATAAAATCTATATATGCACACAAATGTATATAAATGGATGTAAATGCATTTTCTGAGAAAACATGCAGGAGTGTTTCTGACATTTGAAGTCTCAAATGTTATTTTCCCCCTAAAAGGGGATAAAAGTAAAACAGAATTAGAAAAGAAACATTTGTTAATAGATTGCTTTAAGAACACTATGCTGACATTTATAAATCACTATTTTGAACGTGGGGCAACTTAATACCTGCGGGGTAGAATACTGGAATGGCATTGACGATTCTCATCCAGGAATTACTATTAATTAGTTGCATAACTCTTAAATTTCTTGGATCTAAGAGATGTACTCTAAGATTCCTTTCTTGCATTCCCAGCATTTGAGGGGTAAAAAAATAAAAGTGTCAGTCTTGATATTCTTTCCAGTTTTAGCAGATGATAATTCTATAATTCAAATATCATTGGTTCTATTACTCTGGAAAAAACTGTGAGTCTTTTCTGTTCATGAAAGTTCTTGAAATGGGCCTATTAGCTCATCTGTGATTAATTATATTATACTAATCATATTTATAAATAAAGACTATTTCCATAAGAATAATTGTTAAAGGGCACCTGGGTGGCTCAGTCGGTTACGCGTCTGCCTTCAGCTCAGGTCATGATCTCAGGGTCCTGAGATGGAGCCCAGCATTGGGCTCTCTGCTCAGCAGGGAGCCTGCTTCTCCCTCTCACTCTAACTCTGTGCTCTCTCTTGCTATCTCTCTCTTAAATAAACAAAAATCTTTGGGAAAAAAAGAATCGTTAAGATTTGCATTATACAGTCATCTGTATAAATTATAAAAATATGGAATGCTTTTCACTTGCTTGGAAACTATTATCTGAAATTATGTGGAAAATTTTATTTGGTTGAAATGATATTAAGCTAGTACATTATAGAAATGGTGCAATGTTTTCAGATTCTTCCAAGGCCCTCATATAATATATACATTGAGCATGACTGCTTATATTTTATAGAGCAGCTAACAAAATAAAACAAGAACAAACTCCACTAAACCTCTTTAAGATAATCACCCTCTTACACAACATTAAGAAGAGGGCATAGTACCATATTTATATTACAATAAAAAGTAATGAGATAGATTTTTATTAGCCCAATATGTACACTCATAATTTATACCAAAGAATATTAGAAATAAAATAAAGGTTTGATATAAATAAAATTATAAGTATTCCTGGAAAAGGAGGGGCATTTTTCTCTTCAGGTCTTAAATCTTAAGTTTTGAAGTAACCCAGTGAATTACAACCTTCTTCCTCTGGTAAGCTTGGAACTGAGTGTTGAGGAGATACAGGAATGAGGCAAACAGATGTTGGTTAGACATGTGATCCAGTGAGTTTGGTAGATGCACACCATAATGAACCACCTCACACCATCCCAGAAGCACAGGGCTGACTTATTCCCTATCCCACCTTAGAAGCAGGACCTGCCCACGAAGTTCACACCTGGTCTACAGAGGAAACCAAAACACACTAGCTCCACAGACACACTGATCCAAGGAGAAGACAGCTGAAGGCTCTTGGCCAACCATGTCCAGCTACTTTTATCACACTCACTCATCTGAAAACTGATTTTTCTCATTCAGTGGTAAGGAGCTAAAAAAGGGTGGGAGAGAGATCAGAAGAGTTAGCCTAGCTGAAATCCCTCCACATGAAAACATGAGAAGCAGGGTCTAAGTGTTTCTAATAACACTCTATTATACAGTTTAAATCATAAATCAATTAATAAAACTAAGTATTTTCTGTCATGATGCAGGGGTTCTTTTTGGGCAGGCAGTGGGGGGAAATATGCAGAACAATACATGAAGCCTCATGTCAGATGCATTTGATTTAAAACTGCAAAAGAAGTTCAGCTGAAAAGAAAACATTACATCATAAAAATATTCAGATTTGAATTGCTTTGATTTTCTTTACAAATGAGAAATTATAAGATGTTGGATTAAGACCTCAGACTTAAGACAAGAACACGAGGTTTAGACTGAAGCCTCTCTCTTAACCTCTCCTGAACCTCTGGATTCTCATCTGAGAAGAGAGAATAATGATGTCCTTCACAGGGTTTGTCTGAGGATCAAATGCAATGATGTATGTGAAAGTGCTTTGTAACTCCAAAATGGCATGCAAGTGCAGGGGATAAAGCAAGCATTGTGTCCATCCTTTTGCTCTAACAAAGTCCTTTACACTATCTTGTAATACCCAAAATTTTATGGGGAAACAGTGTGGCTTGATTTGTGATTTCACAGCTTGTGAAATAAAAAATGTACAATATAGCCATGTTTTCATTACTACCTAAGCACATCTCATTAAGAAGTATAGATTTAAATAATTATGTTTACTTGAAGGTAATTTTTCTTCCCAATTCATTCACCTACAAGAACAGTATCTTAACACATGGGAAGTAAAAAAAATGTAGTTACAATGCTCAAATACAGTTTCTATGTTTGTATATATCTAGCTATAGGAAAGAGGTAAAAGAAGTTTGCACAAACTTGAGGAAAGAGAGGTAAATAATTAATTTCCCCATTGTGTAGAAAAAATAAATATATGTTTAAGTATACAAACTACATCCAGACAAAAGTATGGAGACTGGAAATAAAAAGTAAAATGTGAAAACTATAATTTTAAGTACCAGGAAAATCAAATGCTAAGAGAGACTCAGTTGGGAGCTTGTTATAATACTTACAACACGTAATTAGAATAATCCAGATAAACCAAGTTATTTTAAAGGAATGCATTCAGGAGCAAGGGTAAACAAAACAGAAGACTAAAGTTCACAAATTATTTCTACACCATCTACACAGTTTTAACTTAATTTTATTCCAATATGTTCAGAATATTCAGGATAGGAATGCCTTCTCACAGGAGCAAAGGTTACTCTATTTATTTTAAACCCTGGGAACCAGTAATACCTGCTTTTTAGTTCGGATGATTTATTTTTGCTTTTGTTTCCCTTGCCTTGGGAGGTAAGAAATATCTAGGAAAATGTTGCCATGGCTAAAAATCACTGCCTGTGATCTCTTCTAGGATTTTTATGGTTCCAAGTTTCACATTTAGGTCTTTAATCCACTTTCAGTTTATTTTAGAATGGGAGAAGATATTTGCAAATGACATATACAATAAGAGGGGTTAATATCCAAAACATATAAAGAACTTAAAATTCAATACCAAAGAAACAAACAATCCAATTAAAAAAATAGAAGACATGAATAGACATTTTTCCAAAGAAGACATAGACATACAAAAAGATGCTCAATATCACTAATCATCAGGGAGAGACAAATCAAAACCACAATGAGATATCACCTTACACCCGTCAGGATGACTAAAATCAAAAAGACAAGAAAAAACAAGTGTTGGCAAGGATGAGGGAAAAAAGGAACCCTTATGCACTGCTGGTAGGTATGTAAATTGGTGCAGCCACTGTGGAAAACAGTATGGAGGTTCTTCAAAATATTAAAAATAAAAATGCCATATGATCCAATAATTCTACTATTAGGTAGTTACCCCCCAAAAAAAACAAAAGTACTAATTCAAAAAGATATATATACCCCTATGTTTGTTGCAGCATTGTTTATAATAGCCAAGATATGGAAGCAACCAAAATGTCCACTGAAAGACAAATGGATATACACATACACAATGGAATCTTACACAGCCATAAAAAAGAATGAGACTTAAAAAAAAAAAAAAAAAGGTGCGAATACACCATTTTGAAAAAAAAAAAAAAAACCAAAAAGGGAATATGCAAAGAGAAAAAAAAAAAAAAAAAAAAAAAAAAATAAAAATATAGCGGAATACAAAAAAAAAAAAAAAAAAAAAAAAAAAAACCCAAAGGAATAAACAAACAAACAAAAAGCAGAATCAGGCCTATAAATACAGAGGACAAATTGATGATTGCCAGAGGGGAGAAAGATAGGGGGATGGGCAATATAGGTGAAGGGGAGTGGGAGATAAAGTTAATGAAATTTTAATAGCATCATATGATGGCAGATGATGGATACACTTGCGGTGAGCATACCATAATGCGTAAAATTGTTGAATCACTATGTTGTGCACCTGAAACTAATGTAACATTATATGTCAACTATATTCAAAGAAATTTTAAGTTCTTAAGTGATCCATAGAACCCAGAAAAAAATATTCACTTTTCTATTAATTCTCAGGGCTTAGTAATATAAGTAATCCAGTATTACCAAGTTCACAAAAACATGTTTTATTTAAAATTCTGCCATGGACACAGACACAAAAACTGTATAAATCTTTAGTCTAACTAGAGCAACCAAATTCCAACTACACCTTTCCAGCTCTAAGTTAATATCACAGGAACACTGATGAACATATTATTCTAGAACATATCTAGCCTACTTTATGTGTCCATTTAATTCAATTCCACATTGCCACATTGTTCGTCTATCACCTCTCTCCAGATGTCACCTGGTTCTTTTTCAGATCAAGGGAATTCTATCAAAGAGATCTGTGGTCAGAAACCAAAAGTAATTTTACTGATCCAGACCTGATAGTCCAATAAAACAGAGTTGACTGGTGCAGATCTGTGCAAGCCAACTTCTTCAAACTTTCATGGATTGACCTTGGTTTTGATGGCAAGGCAAACATGAGTGTATGTCCAACTGATACATACCCCTCAATGGTATTCAGTGGCAATTTAATACATCTGCCTTACTGAAGGTAAGGTAACTGAAGGTAATATTTATCATCATGTACTTTAATGTCATGCACAAGTTCATCAAAAGGAGGAACAGTCACCATTGTTCCAATTTAGTACCAAGGTTGTGATAACTTAGACTTCATCATAACATACTGAAATACAATAAAATAGTAAAACCAAAATAAATTATGGAAACAGAGATACTCTTACCAAAGATTAAATAAC